ATATCAGATAATTTTAAAAAGGTAAAGGACCCTTGACAGTTAAGTCCAGTTGTGAACGACTCTGGGGTTGCGGCGTTCATCTCACTTTATAGGCCGAGGGAGCCGACGTTTGTCCACAGGCAGTTTTTCCAGGTCATGTGGCCAGCATGACTAAGCCGCTTCTGGCGAAACCAGAGCAGCGCACGGAAACGCCGTTTACCTTCCCGCAGGAGCGGTACCTATTTATCTACTTGCACTTCGACATGCTTTTGAAGTGCTGGGTTGGCAGGAGCTGGGACCAAGCAATGGGAGCTCACCCCGTCACGGGGATTCGAACTGCTAACCTTCCGATCGGCAAGCCCTAGGCTCAGTGGTTTAGACCACAGCACCACCCACGTCCCATCAGATAATTGGGTATTGTTAAAAACGCAAAAACAATAATACATTTAAAATAAGACTTGACTGTTTCAAGTATGTGTTAGTCACCCTATGTAGCGTGTTCACAAGAACCCAATGGGTTTCAAAGAGTATCACTCTCACAGTTCCCCAAATTTACATTATCGCCTTGGAAGGTGGTAGACTTTCTTCCACTGGAGATTTTTAACAGAGGTTGGATGGCCATCTGCCAAGGATTCTTTAACTGTGATTGCTGCATTTCAGGGGGTTGGACTAGATGACCCGTGGAGTCCTTTCCAACACTACAGTTCTGTAATTGTAGGTCAGCCTAATCTTCATTAAGGGCTTTTATCATTCCAGCTTTTGCATGATGACCGGGGCGGGGTGGCACTTATCCACACATGCATGTAACACATCACTCAATGATATAACACCTGCCGGCAGGCACCCAAAGAATGTGTGAAGGTTGGCATCCTCAGCCCCACTTGTTCCACCTCAACTTTCCCCAGTGTCACATATACAGTCATGGGGCACCAACTGGGAGTGGCGGACTAGGAAAAAGATATTGGGATTGTCCTTGGTAGCAGATGAAAATGTCAACCCAGCATGCAGCAGGTGTCAAAGAGTCTGTTAGGAAAGGGATTAAAAGTAAAACCTACTGATAGCTTGGAATCAGTGGTGCAACTGTACTTGGAATAAAACAATACAATTATGCAGGGTATGGAGAAAACAGAGAGAACTTTTCCTCCCACCCTCCTAATACCAAAGCTCATTGGGACTGTCCAATGAAGGCGGACTGCAGGGAGATTCAGGACAGGCAACAAAGTTTTTCTCACAGTGCAAAGTTATACTATGGAATTTGCTACCGCAGAATGTAGTAATAGTACCTACAACGTAGACAGCTTTAAATGGGGCTACTAATCATGATAGCTGTGTCCTGTCTCCACTGTTTGAGACTTTATGCCTCCGAATACCAGTTCATGGGTATCACCAGTGCAGAGAGTGCTGCTGTCTCACTCAGGGCCTGCTTGTGGGCTTCCCAGAGGCATCTAGTTGGCCATTTTGAGAAAAGTCCTGTTCAGGTGCTCAAAGAACATGCAAGGGCATAAAATGTGTTGTGGGCAGAGTTATGCACCCTGTTTCCGCCACCAGTATCTCCATCCTCTCTACTTTCCCACATTGAGCAGGAACATAACACAAGCATTTAAGAGGCTAGCTGCTGTTTTTAAAATGTTGTGAGAATACAGGATGATGAAAGTTGCAGGCTTGTAAGGAATCATGGAGGTGGGGGATAAACAATAGCGAAATCCACCCAAATCTCTCTCCTCCTCCCCAAAATAGCACAGTAACATGATCGAGGCCAAACTGTGATCTAGATTCATACACATTGGGGCCATATATAGGACCATTGTCTCAGGGCACCCATCTCCAGACCATCCCAGATACAGTTAAGTTGTTGGGGGCTTAATCAGGCCGCTCTCCGCCCTGCCCCAGCCAACCACCCTGCTTTTGCTGCTTTTCTTCAAACGATGCTCTGAAAATTCCATGATTCAGCTCCTTCAGGAGCTCAGTTGTATACGGATTTGTTTTACCTTGTGTTTAAGGGCTGCTGGTCAGTAATATCCATACTTTGTGTCTATAAACATTCAGCATTGTGCATTTAAATATGAGTGGTATGCCAAGACTGACAGCTTTAAAGGTGGTGGTTGTTTTTTGGTGGTTTTTTGCACATTGGTTGGTTACAGTGGACGGTCACCAGCAGGATTCAAGGAAACTGAATTAGCTGGATGCCCTTCTTACATTTTCTAGTTATTGTATTAACATCCATAGTGTCTGCCTCAATTTCACACATTGCCCTGGGGAACATATGTACACAGTGATGCACAGCACAGTAGCCTAGAGACTCTGGTTTAGATCTCACCTCTGCAACGAACTCACTCTTTAACTCTCAGCCTCAGCATCCCTACCAGCTTACCTTACAATGTTGTTGTAAGGATCCCAAGTAGATAATGAAGAGCTTTGAGGACTTCAAAATGCTTCGCAAATGCGTAACTGCAGTATAGGGTTGCATCTAAGTTCTGCTCAGAGTAGACCCATTGAAATTAATCTCTTAAATTAGTAATGGAGATTAATTTCAGTGGGTTTACTCTGAGTAGGACAGACATTGGTTACCACTGACAGTTAGTGTTTGCTTTGCAAAAATGCACAATCTCCAATCTGTAGAATCCCTCGTTCGTAATGCTGTGCCGTACACAGTCTCCATGCCTACCTGTAAATGTTCATGCCTGTTTTCCATTCTGCTTGCTTACATAGTCACAGCTAGCACACAAACACACACTCATAGGAAACTGAGTCAGACCTCTGATCTATCTAGCTCAGCATTGCCTGCACTGACTGGCAGCGGCTCTTCAGGGTCTCAGGCAGGGGTCTCTCCCAGCCCTACCTGGGGATGCCGTTGGGGACAGAACCTGGGACCTTCTACATGCAAAGCAGTTGCTCTGTCAGTGAGCTGTGGCCCTCCCCCCCCCACTCCTTTGGGTCAGTAGGTGCCAAGAGTTTATGTAAGACACAGAACAAGGCTGAATTCTTTCCAAAATCAAATGCTTCCCTGTTGTTTATCCATGGCTCCTGGTGTCACATTTCTCGTCTTCCAAAAGCCTGAAGCCATATTGCCAACCGCTCGCAGGAGCTTTCCAGCTTCACATTTACACTTAGCGGTACTGCTGCTGGCCTTCCGCCTGTGGCTGGGAGTTTCACTCGTTTAAAGACCCGCAAGACGTGACCCAGGGAGCATAACGGGTTGAGGTTTATAGGAATTTTTAGATCGCATATAGGTTCAAAGAGGGACCTCCCCCCCCCCGCCGCTGACTTCTCTTGTGGGCAATTGGGGTGCATTTGTTCTGAGGCTGGCTTTCAAGAGGTTTCCTTAGAACACCTCCCGTTCCCTTTGCAACTTGAAAGAGGCAGCGCCTTTTACCCTTGAGGCAGACAAGCCGCTCGGAAATGATGGGGTTTCAAAGCAAAGCGAAAGGAGATTAAAACCACACACTGCGCTTTAACTTGACATTACATCTGCTAGTTTGAATATCATCTACTCCAGTTTTTGAACGTAAGCCAGCTTCATTACGCTGCGGAATTATCACAGACTTCTCTTGGCATGCGCTTTTACTGCCTAATTATCTTAACGTGGCTGTATATATTCAGATTAGAAAAGAATAGATTGCTTTAATACAGTTTCGGGTGCTGTGGCTGTAGCCTTGTCTTTAATATGTTTTAATCTCAGGTGTGTCGTCCCCCCGCCCACCCCAGCCACGAGTCTTAGGGTGGCTTATTTTTTAATACCCATATATAGCATAAAGCTGTGTGTTCCTCCCTTTTGTGATGGTAATGCCCTCCAATACCAAACAGTAAAATCTAAGTACCAGCTTGAAAAAGGAAAAGAAGCATGACTACCTTGTATAATATCATTTGGGGCAGGGGCCTATGCCAAGTCTTCTAATTTGCCATCCCAGCCCCAGAAACTAGGCACTGTTCTTCAGAGACTTCCTTGGACGATCAATTTTTTTTAAATAAAAAAATCTTTATTGTCTTTCTTTCACTTCAAATGGCTCTCCAAAGTGGCTTACATAAAACAATGAAATATAATTGCATTAGGGCTGCTTCTTCCACCTCTTACACACCAGTGGCATCTAGCTCACAGCTGGTTTTAACTTTGCAGACTCCTCTTAGGTTGACTCTTGTGGTTTTCGGCAGGCTGTAACAACCTTGTGCTCCTTTTACAATATCCTTTGGCAGCATGGTTCTTCCCCATGCAACCTGCCCTCTCCACCGTGCTGGGTTGCTGCCACGCTTGGTCTTGTGTGGAAGCATCTTGATGTGGAGAGAGCAACCGGGGTGTGCAGATTCCCCTTGCAGATACGGTGACACTATTTGCCTCATTTATCTATTACCTTAGCAAGAAAGCAGTGATATCATTAGCACCCACTGGGGACAGGAGTGCTCCGTGGCCGCCTGCCCCTTGAAAGCAGCTGTGCTTCAATTCTCCAACACACTCCAGCCACCCCTTTGGGGGAAGCAGCATATCTCGGAGGTGAAGCACCTTCTTCTGCTTGCAGACAGGTACCAGGTTCATTCCCCAACATCTCTAGCCGTGAGGATCAGATATGTGGTGGTGGGAATGGCCTCTCCCTGAAGGAGCTGGTATCAGCTCCCCTCGGCCCCAGCCAAAAACCAGGCTGACAAAGGCAGTGCGAGGCTAAGTGGATAAATAGTCTGGCCTGGTGTAAGTCAGCTTCTTGGATCACCTGTTTCCCATTTCAGGGTTGTGTCCGGCCAGGTTCTACTCCAAATTCATTGAAGTTAATGAACCTAACTTAGTCGTGGCCTTTCATTTCAGTGGGTGTGCTCTAGAGTAGGGCTAGCATCAGATGCAACCCACCGATAAATGAACCCTACACCCCTGAACCTTTTCTCTTCTCCTGGGTCATTTAAATGTAAGAACTGCCTTGCCAGGTAAGATTAAATCTGCTTGCCCATCACTCTCTCCCCAGAATTGGTGGTCCAGATGTCTCTGGGAAGCCCGCATGCTGCTCTGACAAACCTTGTGATTCTTTCTTCTTTTCCAGGGAGAATTGATCACCTTCTATTACTACTGGAAGAAAACCCCCGAAGCGGCCAGTTCCCGGGCTCACCGCAGGCATCGGAGGCAAGCCGTGTTCCGGAGAATTAAAACCCGAACGGCTTCCACTCCAGTGAATGCTCCCTCCAGGCCCCCCTCCAGCGAATTCTGTAAGTAGCAGGCTTAAAAGCAACACATTTGTCTCTTGTTTAGATGCATGGGGCTAAAACAGAAGGTAATGGCTCTTTGCCTATGACCGAACGCAGCCGGGAAAATGGAGTTCAAGCCCTCGGCTGCGCTCGCCCTCTCAGTTCATTATCCCTGCGGATGGCAGGTGCCTGGGATCAGCAAGCGATTGGTTTTGTGCTGCGCGGGAGGAAGCTCAGGCAATAAGCTGCTGGGGAAATAATAGGCGAAGCTTCACCTTGGCTATCGAGGCGATTATGTTTGCCCCGATTTGCATGGGAGCGTTGCACTTAACTCCAGTTCTATCATTTGCAACATAGAACAAAGGCCCCACGTGCAGAACCCCAGAGAATCAGCCACAGTCTATGTGGCACGGACATACAAATGCATTGCTCCTGCAGAACAGCCACTGCTACAGGTGCCACGTAACTCCCATTTCCCCTCACTCCCCAGCCAGTATAGTCAATGGTCAGGGGTGATGGGAGTTGCGGTTCAGCGACATTTGGAGAGCCATGGGTTCCTCACTCCTGTGTATTTGTTGAAAATGGGGAAACACTTTGTGCATCTGATCAAAGCTTCTTTTGTGGCACAAAAAATCCCTTAGCTCGCTCTTTCTTTTTTAAAAAATTATACACCGCTTGACTATAGAAAAACAACGCTCAAAGTGGAGTAAAACAATAAAATTATAGGCAAAAACAACTATTTGAAACATTCAAAAGATTAAAATCTGTGGCAGATTAAAACATTCATCAATATTCTACATAGCTGGGTAGCCTTGTCTAACAAAAATGCATTTAGGAGGTGCTGAGGAGAGTGCAGTGAAGGGGCCTGTCTGCTGTCAATAGGCAGGGAGTTCCAAAGTGTAGGTGCTGCCACGTAAAACTACCTATTCCTTATAACCACAGAACAGGCATTCCAACAGCCTATTGTGGGGAAACGCAGGTTCTCCAAATGTGGTTTAGAGGTAAAATGTCTGAGCAGGGATGAGGAACCTGTGGCCCTCCAGTTGTCCCTAGATTACAGCTCCCCTATTCTCTCACCACTGATCCTGCTGGCTGGGGAGGTGGGAGTTGGGAGTCAAGCATCATTGCTTGATTCAACTTTGCATCAGCTTATTTATCTGGTTCCATCTGTGCAGGGTGCGGGTAAGGCCGCTCCCTGCCTCAACGGGATCTTACAGTCTTGAATAGACACACGGTCTGTTTTGCAGCCTAAAATGGTCATCCTCCTTGGCCATGAGCCGTGCTGGCTGGGGCCGATGGGAGTTGCAATCCAAAAACATCTGGGAGGGCGGCTGGTTCAACCATCCCTGCATTAGGTTGGGCCAGAAAAGTTCACCGCTCATCTGTGCCCTCCCTTAAATATCTGCCTGCCAACTTGGGCTAACGCTGTACACATGAAGCAGGCTCCAGCCTATTAAAAGCGCTACCACAACAAATCTGTTAGTCGTGAAGCTGCCCTCACGTCTCTTTCCTTCCAGTTTTTTATTTTTTATTTTTAATGGATGGTTCTGCTGCTGCTGCAACAAGATGCCACAGGAGGAGCAACGCCAAAGGAGGGGGAACTTCCTGACTCTTAAGTTATTTGCTCTACCCTTCTCTTCTCTCTTCCCTCCCTCCTTTCTGTGCACTTAGTGGATCTGAGTTCAGCCAGTGAAGATGACTTTGACAGCGAGGACAGCGAGCAAGAGTTGAAAGGCTACGCCTGCCGCCACTGCTTCACCACCAGTACGCACCTTTGCATGGGCACGGGGCTGGGGGCGGGGGCTCTTTTTCCAGCCTGAGGGCCACATTCCGGTGGTGGGTGAGCCAGAGGCAAAGCGGGGAAGAGCGACAGAGGTGGCTCTTTATCATTGCACAGTAGAAGGCAGAGATTCCTACATGCACATCTCTCCGTGCAGGCAGGCAAGAGGCATGAGAATTCTAAGGACCTAGGCAGAATCGCTCAAAGAGGGTGTGGCATAGGGCTGTTGAGGAATGAAGCCTGGGAGCAGAGAGTGTGGCCTGTGTAGAAAGTCCTGAGGGCCAAATAGAGAGGTTTGGAGGGCCGCATTTGGGCCCTGGGCCCGAGGTTTCCGACCATTGATATATTGTTCTCTCCTCTCTGCCAGAGTGCCTGCCTTAACTCAAGGGCTTACCGGAGTCAGGGATGTTTTCTTAGGCCCCTTGTACCATTGTTGCAAGTGTAGCAGAAGCCCTTGTCATCCTTAGGTGAGCTTGTCTAAGAAACTGTACCTTGAGCTGCCAGGACTAGAAAGGAGGGCTGCAACCTCCCCTTTCGGATTGTCTACCCCGCAACCCGGGGAGGTTTTGCCTTTGTGAAACACTAGGAAACTGTCTGCAAGTGAACTAGGAAGGGGAAACTGTCACCTGTTTTGTGAAGCTTCTTCATCATCCCTTCAGTACCTGTATAAGTCAAGCCAGAAGTAATATCCCTGTAGCGCAGTTTGAAGGAGCATATAAGTATACGTTAGTTACCTGCTTTGTACAGCTTGTGTCTCATAATGCTAACACGCTCTGTCCCCTCCCCAAAAACAGCCTCCAAGGACTGGCACCACGGCGGGCGGGAGAACATCTTGCTGTGCACTGACTGCCGCATCCACTTCAAGAAGTACGGGGAGCTTCCCCCCATCGAGAAGCCGGTGGACCCGCCACCCTTTATGTTTAAGCCTGTCAAAGAGGAAGATGATGGGCTCAGCGGGAAGCATAGCATGAGGACAAGGCGGAGTCGAGGCTCGGTAAGCTGCCTGAGACCTGCCCTGCAACCTCGCTGCCAAGCTGTAGGCAAAGTAACAGCTTCTGGGCCTGAGCACTGTTAAGTCCTGAATCAAAGTACCAGATATTCTCTACACACACCCTGTGATACACCTTCTCTCTCTCTCTCTTGCTCTTTCTGATGGCTAATCTTAGAGGTAGGTCTTTATGGAGCACAGTAAAGAGGCTGTGTCTTGCCAAGAGGCTGTCTTCCCAGTGCTGACCGTTAGTGATTTGTTGAGGCAGCCTGCCCACCTAAGGGGAAAGGGATGTAGAGAGATGAATCATACACATAAACCTGCCTTTACCAAGTCAGGCCGTTGTTCTATCTAGCACAACGTTGTTCTTGTGGACAGCAACTCTCCAGAAGAGATGCTGAAGCTGGGCCTTCTGAACACAAAGCTGATGATCTACCACTAAACTGTGGCCCTTTCCTTAAGACCTAGGAGCACAGGAAGCTGTGTATACTGAGTCAGGTCCATTGGTGCATCCAGCTCAGAATGTCTGGCTCTGGTTCTTCAGGGTTTCAGTTCAGAGTCTCTCTCAGCCCTCCCTAAGAGATGCTGAATATTCGACCTGGGATGTCCAGAGTGTAGAGCAGAGGCACTAACCACTGAGCTGCCAGGATTCCTCTTTGTGTAGCACCCATGAGGAGTTTCAGAAAAGCTGGTGAATTTTACTGCTTGGTGTGTTTGTGGGTTTGGAACCACTTCAAGGATCTGTACATCGACCAACTTACCCTTGCCAGCAAAACAGGCAGGCTCCCCTTCCCAACGCCATCAGAGGCAGAGGAAGGTGGAAGAATGTTTTAGGTGCAGCTTCTCATTAGCGCTGACTGGTTGGGGTTGTTGGCCGCTGAGCTTCCTCTTTGCTTACGTCTAAGCAGCCTCCTTTTTTGTTGCATCAAGATACCTGCCAAACACCTTGTCAGGTTCCACTGTCGGCTCCTTGATTTGGCTTCATCTTTCTTTCTTTCTTTTTTCTTTCTTTTAATGATCTCTCGTTATCCAGACAGATGCTAAATTAGGAAGGGAGCAGATGAAACACTGCTAATTGTTGCTGCATAATCTTCCCGCCACAGCAGAAATCTGCAGAAGCCATTCACAGTTGTTTCAGGAAAACCATGGGCTGCCCCCAAGCCCTTCTCCCCACCCTCTGAGACCAGCTCTTTTGTATTGTGTCTCTGTATTTTTAAAAACCTTTATTATACCAATTATTTATATAAGATGGAATAATAATAATAATTTTTATTTTTACAATACTTTTAAAGGCTGTGATATTATTATTATTATTATTATTATTATTATTATTATTATTATTACTACTATTACTATTATTATTTCGGTGTATTTTTAAAACTTAGATTACATGAATTCTTTTTTCATAAGATGATGATTCCAATTAATTAGTCACTTGCCGCATTAGGAGACTTCAAGTGAGATATTTTTTTAAGAGCACAAAGTTCAACACAAAATCATGGGGTGTGGGAGATACTGCATTACATTAAAATCCATACAATAAACTTGTAAAGCACACTCAATAAAACAGCAGCCAAAGCATATCGTCCATAGGCAGGAAAATAAATATTTAACATGCACGATGGAATGAATGGGTCACAGCTCAGAGAAAGGCTGAAAAAACATGGGCAAGCTATTAAAATCTGAGAAGCAAGGCGGGTGCCCATCCTCTGGCTGCATCCAAATATCACAAGAAATACAGAGCAAGGAGGCCTTGTGTTACTGGTCCAGGTTTTTGTTGAGCTGCCCCGTTTCCATTAGGCTGCAATAATTCAGTGCAAAAGGTTTTACTCTGTGCAGAGTTTGCTGCTCTCAGGGAAGAAAAGGAGAGTCAGAACAGATCAGCTTAATTAGCTTATAAATACATAACATGCCAGTGGTTACCCCGTGAGTAAACATACTAGGTGTACATGATTAGCTTGATCATTGTGCTTCCTCTCTTCCCTTGCGGCCTGGACCATCAAAAACAATGGGGCATCCCTCTTGTATTTTGCCCCACTCTGAGGGGGGAACACCAGTGGCCTTGTGCCTTCAGCCCTCCAAAGCTGAAATCGAAAGAGAAGAATTGAGGGTGGCTGTAGAGCAGTGCCCTGTTTTCCTGCCGGTGATGCTTAGGATCATAAGGGAGCCTTTGTCAACAGAGGCCCTCTAGATGAGTCCCATCCCCAGCTAGCTGGGGTGATGAGAGTCGTAATCCAAAGCATCTGCAGGGCCCACAGCTGGGATGGGGTCTGGGGGAGCACAAAGGAGTTGACTTTGTGTTCTGAGAATTGGATCCAGACCCAGCTAGCCGTGCTTTGGCCCCAGAGAAATCCATGTCACTTAAGCTGTTGGTGACTAACTTAGCTTGGACCCATCTTTGAGGGTTCCTTGGTATGAAAACCAGCCAGTGCCACTAAAAGGAAGGGTTATTGACCAAAGATGGCATCCATGAAGAAATTCCATTGAGGGGGGAGGCTTAAGTTCTGTAGGGATACCCAAAGGCAGCCTTTGTCATGCTTCCTGTCCTTCTCTTTAAACTAGCAGATGTCGACACTACGCAGCGGTCGCAAAAAGCAGCCAACCAGCCCTGATGGTAGAGCCTCCCCCATCAACGAAGACATCCGGTCCAGCGGCCGCAACTCCCCCAGCGCTGCCAGCACTTCAAGCAATGACAGCAAGGCGGATTCGGTGAAGAAGTCCACCAAGGTGAGTTCTGGCTCTTCCCGTGGGTGCTCTCCGGCCCATTTCCTGGTAACTCGTTGGAGAAGAGTTCAGGCCAAGGCTTGGCAGGTGGGCGGCTTCAAAATCCAAGCTAGAACTTTCCCCGCAGTGTCTAATGCTGTATCCCAGGTGTGGAGAACCAGGGGCTTCTCCAGATGCTGATGACCAAACAAGCATGGTCAATGGCCAGAGGGACAATGAGAACTGCAGTTCAGCAGTAACTGGAAGGCTAAAGGTCCCCACACACTTGCTAACATCCCCTACAGTGGTTTGTTTTTTAAAAAAACTTTTTAAGGGAAGCTTTCCCCCATTCTGCTGAGGAACCCCTGCTGTTCTGATACAGAAGTCCTAAATGTGGCTGGTCACTCCTGTGAGTGTTTAAGGTAAAGGTAAAGGTGACCGATTCTGGGGTTGCAGCGCTCATCTCTCTTTATTGGCCGAGGGAGCCAGTGTACAGCTTCCGGGTCATGTGGCCAGCATGACTAAGCCGCTTCTGGTGAACCAGAGCAGCTCATGGAAACACCGTTTACCTTCCCGCCGGAGTGGTACCTATTTATCTACTTGCACTTTGACGTGCTTTCAAACTGCTAGGTTGGCAGGAGCAGGGACCGAGCAACAGGCGCTCACCCCGTCGCGGGGATTTGAACCACCGACTTTCTGATCGGCAAGCCCTAGGCTCTGTGGTTTAACCCACAGCGCCACCCGTGTGTGTTTAAGACCCTTCCTCAAATCACATGGTCCTCATGGGCACGCCCTAGGGCAGTCTCCTGAGGCTACATTCAGTCTCCTTGTGGAATCCCCAAACAGGTTTCCAAAGAGCCCCAGAATTCACATGGATCTGCTTTGAAAAGCGACAGCATGGGCGGTTGACTCCTACACCGTTAATTTCCCCCATCCTGCTGTGCGAGAAACATAACCTGTTCCGTTGTCATCCGTATGAAGCTCTTTGCAGGCAGGCTACAAGAACTCCCATTTGTTCTCCTGTCGCTTTCCCCTAATAACGCCACTCCTTTCCCGTCAGCAGCAGAAGATAAAAGAGGAGGCATCGTCTCCTCTCAAGAGTTCCAAGAGACAGAGAGAAAAGGCAGCATCTGACACCGAGGAGCCCGACCGAATCAACGCCAAGAAAACCAAAACACAGGTAGGTCTCAGTTAGAGCAGCCTGTGCCAATCTGCCTCCCTCCCATCAGCCCCCAGCCATCACATGGCAAAAGATGTGTTTCAGAGACCCTGACATGCATGTGCCTCTCTTTTTGCGGGCCCAGCTGGCTCTGGATGACATAGACCAGGCTTCCTCAACCTCAGCCCTCCAGATGTTTGGAGACTACAATTCCCGTCATCCCTGACCACTGGTCCTGCTAACTAGGGATCATGGGAGTTGTAGGCCAAAAACATCTGGAGGGCCGAGGTTGAGGAAGCCTGACAAAGCAAGGCCTTTGATAAGGTACATTTTAAACCATCATTGTGTCCAGCAATCCCTCTCTGCTAGGGAGCAGTGTCAGGAAAAGGACTGTTTAGTCTTAATGTCCCGCTTGTGGGCTTCCCAGAGGCATCCTTGTTGGCAGCTGGTGGACTAGATTGGGCTTTTGCTCCAGCAGGGCCCTTATTTACTTGAAAGAATAAAAAAATAAATATTGGGACCCAAGGGTTCCAACATTGGGTCATTCGTTTGAGCACCATTTTGGGCAAAGGTTTCCTGCATGGCCGGGGGTTGGATTAGATGCCCCTCATGGTCCCTTCCAGTTCAATGATTGCTGTGATTAAGGGTGGCAGAGTGGGAAGCAGACAAATATGATCCACAGGGCACTCACAAGTTCTTGTGTGGGGGCCACCCTGGGGAGCACATGCTGCTGTGCAGCGCCTTCCTTTTCAGTGGGGCTTGCCACACAGGTAAACTATCCAGTGAGATCACACCATATACCAAGTAAGATTTAGAATTTCTACAGTAGGAACAAGTGCCTTGCGCTTGGCCTGAATGCCCCCTGTTGTCTACTCCCAAACCTGGCTGGTGATATAGAAAACTGCATTATACTAAGTCAGACTACAGGCCCATATAGCTGAGTGCTGTCTACGCTCTGGTTCTGTGACTCTGCTACAGCCCTTCCCACACAAACAGCATTTGGGAAGCCACTCAGTGTCCATAAACCCCATCCTTTTTAACACGGAGCTTTCCTCCATGCTTTTTGTCCACAGGAGATCAGCCGGCCCAACTCCCCGTCCGAAGGTGAGGGAGAGAGCTCTGACAGCCGCAGTGTGAATGACGAGGGCAGCAGCGATCCGAAGGACATCGACCAAGATAACCGGAGCACCTCGCCCAGCATCCCCAGCCCCCAGGACAATGAGAGCGACTCGGATTCGTCCGCCCAGCAGCAAGTCTTGCAGGCGTCCAATGGCCTGGCCCAGCCCACACCCGCCTCCATCCCTGTCTCAGCGCAGCTGCCACTGCCAGCCACCTCTGGCCTCCCCTCTTCGGTGCCTCCCCACATCTCCCCATCTGTCTCCCAGTCAGGTAGCAGCCAGCCTCAGACCCCGGTGCCCCCTCACTCTCACATCCAGCAGGCCCCTTCGCTGCACCCACAGAGGCTGCCGTCTCCTCACCCGCCGCTGCAGCCCCTGACTGTGCCCTCCAGCCAGCCGCAGCCTCCTGCCGTCCCCCAGCCCCACCCGCAGCCTCCGCTCCACAGCCAGATCCAGCCTCTCCCTCACAACCTCCAGGCGCAGCCCATCCTGCCTCACCCGGTCCCCGCCCAACCGTTCCCCCTCGCGCCGCAGCCTCCCCCGCTGCCTTCGTCCTCGTCTCAGTCTCAGGTCTCCCTGCAGCCGCAGGCTGTGCCCCACCCCCATGCAGCACTCCAAGTCCCGTCGGTGCAGCCCCCCTTGCAGGCGCCGTCTCCGCTGCAGCAGCAGCCCCCGCCGCCACGAGAGCAGCCCCTCCTCCCGGCCCCTCTGACCATGCCCCACATCAAGCCGCCTCCCACCACCCCCATCCCTCAGCTCCCCATGCCGCCGTCCCACAAGCATCTCGCGGGGCCCTCGCCGTTCTCCATGAACTCCAACCTCCCGCCGCCGCCAGCCTTGAAGCCGCTCAGCTCCCTCTCCACACACCACCCGCCCTCGGCCCACCCTCCTCCCTTGCAGCTGATGCCCCAGAGCCAGCCGCTGCAGCCTTCCCCGGCGCAGCCCCCTGTCCTGACGCAAAGCCAGGGCCTCCCTCCCTCCGCCAGCCACTCCTCCTCCAGCCTCCACCAGGTACCTCCCCAGCCCCCTTTCCCCCAGCACCCGTTTGTCCCCGGGGGGCCGCCACCCATCACGCCTCCCTCCTGCCCGTCGACCTCCACGCCACCTTCCGTGCCCAGCGCCCCTCCTCAGGCAACGGGCTCCACGTCGGCAGCCTGCGCTGGGAACGTCCCCGTGGTGACGCCCTGCACGATGCCACCCATCCAGATCAAGGAAGAGGCTCCGGATGAAGCGGAGGAGCCGGAAAGCCCACCTCCCCCGCCCCGGAGCCCATCGCCAGCGCCGACAGTGGTGGACACGCCAAGCCACGCCAGCGAGTCAGCTAGGTAAGGGAGGGCATGGGCAGCTTTGGGGAAACTGCCACCTGTGTAAAAGTTCACTTTTCCCCACCTCTGCCCATTCATAACACCCTCACTACCACCACTTTGGATGATGGTTTGGTGATTTGAACATCCGCAGTTGTGGATCAGGCTGCCTTCTTAGGAGAGCTTGGGATCTCCTTAAAACTGGTGCACCCAATAATGCTGCCCTGCAGGTGCCATTGGCCTCACAGCTTCCAGCATTCCTAACGGTTGTCCATTCTTGCTTGGGGTGAGAGGAATTGGAACTGCAGGGCACCACGTTGGCTACCTCTGCCTTAAAGGGGCTCACTGAGGGCCAGGATTACAGGAGAATTGCTAAAATGGCTGCGTCATCACACAGATTCTCTTCTCTCCTCCCCATCCTAGCAATAAGGGTCTTCTAAAAGCTCCCCAGGTTGCTACAACATGAAAACTATAAAAAGGTGCACGGAAAATTTGTGAGATATGAGCCCGGGATGTACAGCATTTTGAGGCTGTAGAACACCTCTTTAGATCCTGTTTTACTTCTACATAAGGAAAACACTCAAGAGCATTAAAAAGAATGTTCTCTTGAAAGATTGCACAGCACAAAGCATATTGTGATATTGATTTGTCCTCTTGGATTAATCATTTTTGTGTGTTTGTATACAGTATACATGTATATAAAAAACTTACTTTGATTCTCTGGGTTGGGTAGTATTCTACATGGTTTTGTAATCATTTATTTTCCCAACATCTGTTGATTTACCAGTTTTACCAGAGTCCCCCCCCCCCATATGTTGCACACAGAAACTTCTTCCTGGCTGTTGGGGTGTGTGTGGGGGGGTGGATCTCATTCCTGCTTCTCAAAATGCTGATGGTTGCTTTGTGTCCCCTCTTCCCTCCACCCCACCCGGTTTCTTCGCTTCCAGGTTTTACAAGCACCTGGACCGCGGCTACAACTCCTGTGCGAGGACAGACCTGTACTTCACGCCGCTGGCAGGTTCCAAGCTGGCCAAGAAGCGCGAGGAGGCCATTGAGAAGGCCAAGAGGGAGGCGGAGCAGAAGGCAAGAGAAGAGAGGGAGCGGGAGAAAGAGAAGGAAAAGGAGAGGGAGAGAGAGCGTGAGCGTGAGAGAGAAGCTGAAAGAGCGGCGGTAGGTTTGTCTGTCTGTCAAGCCGTGAGGGGGTGATCCTGGCGGGTCTCGAGCCCAACGGAGGCTGCGGTTGCATGATGTCCGGTTGCATTTCCATGGGCCTGGCGTGTGAGGGTTTTCGCTGCTCTCCTGTGGCCTTGAGAGGGGGCAGGTCCTTCCTCCTCCCTTGCTCTGAATTAAGGATTTCCTCTTTGCCCCTTCACCTCCACTTCAGAATGCATGATTCAGACGGTTATTTGGCATGCAAAAAAAGGCTAGCAGAGGGCAGGTGCCCTGAATTAGCATTGTGTGGACTTGGTTGGGGACTACCTTTGATCCTGCAATGGAAGCTTGGGTGCTCACCCCTCCTTCATTGTCAGAGGAAGTATACACCTCTGAATTCCATATACTGGGAATCCCAGTTGGGGAGAGTGCTGCTGCTGCTGCTGCACTCAAGTTCTGCCTTGGGGGCTTCCCATTAGGTCATTGGGGTGGCCAGTTGTCAGAAGAGAATGCTGGGCTAGATTATCCTTTCGCCCGATCCAGCAGCCACTCTTCTTGTGCTCTTAATTCCACAGTCAAAGAGGAGCTTTGGCTATAAAATTCCTGGAACTGCAGCAGCTGGAGAAATTTTGTTCCAGGGGTTGGGGTGGGGGGCAAGCTGAGGACTATTCAGACAGTGCAGAATGACAACTCACAGTCAAGAATGTCAGGATTTGTCATCCAATTACACCTGGAGGGTTGCAGCCTCCCCAACACTTGCAAATGATCAAAACTTCTTTTCTGAGTGCCTCTGAAAATCCTCACCTTCCTCCAATAAATGCTCCAGGTGGGTAGACCTAGGCTACCAGTGCTGTGGCACAGAGACCTTTTCCCTTGCTGCAGGGGAGAGAGCGACCCTGTGAAGGAAGGATTGTGTGAGAGCTATTGGAAAGGTCTTGAGCTGGTTTTCAGTTCCCCTACTAAACTCTTCTCCCCTCTTCGGTACAGCAGAAATCATCCAGCTCGTCGCACGAAGGACGTCTTGGAGAATCCCAGCTGAGTGGCCCAACTCACATGAGGCCGTCGTTCGAACCTCCTCCCACCACCATCGCCGCCGTCCCCCCGTACATTGGACCCGACACGCCGGCGCTACGGACTCTCAGCGAGTATGCGCGGCCTCACGTCATGTCCCCCACCAACCGCAACCACCCCTTCTTCGTGCCCCTCAACCCCACCGACCCTCTGCTGGCCTACCACATGCCCGGCCTGTACAACGTGGACCCCACCATCCGGGAGAGGGAGCTTCGGGAGAGGGAGCTCCGGGAGAGGGAGCTGCGGGAGAGGGAGCTGCGGGAACGGATGAAGCCGGGCTTCGAGGTGAAGCCGCCGGAACTCGATGCGCTTCACCCCGCTACCAACCCCATGGAGCACTTTGCCCGCCACGGCGCCCTCACGCTCCCCCCCACGGCGGGCCCGCACCCGTTTGCATCCTTCCACCCGGGCTTGAACCCCCTGGAGCGGGAGAGACTCGCTCTGGCAGGCCCCCAGCTGCGGCCTGAAATGAGCTACCCGGACAGACTGGCCGCCGAGAGAATACATGCGGAGCGAATGGCATCACTCACCAACGACCCCTTGGCCCGGCTGCAGATGTTCAACGTCACCCCGCATCATCACCAACATTCGCACATACACTCGCATCTACACCTCCATCAACAGGACCCGCTGCATCAAGGTGAGTCTGTAACAGCGGTTTGCTCCATGCTGTGTGTGCAGCCCCTGATGCCGTCCATTTCTTTTTGAGCTGGGTGGGGAGGGGCTGCCTATTTCGTTGGGGGGGAGTGTTTTTCCCAGCAAATGAAAAAAAAAGTAGTGTACCTGGGAGAGCTAAACTGGAATTTCTGTCCCAGTGTGTTAGTTTTCAAGTTGCAGAAAGTCTTTTGTTGTTTTTTACACAGAGTAAAAAAAAAACGCTAGCATTTTTACAGGAGCATTCTGAAGTGATGCACTCAGCGCTAGTGTGATGCAAAAAGGACCATATTGAATTTGAACTACCACCAGCCTGTGGAGGGAAGTCCCTTTATTTACTTAGCCTTGATCCTCATCACCCAAACGAGAAAAAATGTACACGATGGAACGTTTTAAGGGCAAACCTAAGAGAAACTGCGAAGCACATTTCTGATGTGAAAGGCCTTTGATACAACCACTCGGGGCATTAGCGAGGCCAGCAGGGTCCCCTGCACTAAAAAATAGGTCTCCTCTCCTGTCATGGACTCAGTGCAGCTCCTTCTCCTGTCAGGGGTCACTTAACAGGAGCCGCGTTGCTGAGCTTCCAGCTTAGGAGAAGTTATGCAAGGGAGCCTTGGAGCAGGGTAGAGAAACATTCAGGATCTCAAATACGAGCCCACTTGTCCTTAACATGTGTCTTAAGCTGGGGTCTGTGTAATCCCTACCCCCCTCTGACTGCAGTGAGGTCTCCCGAGTTCACTGTCCTCTGTCGCTCTCTACTCCTTTTACTGCTATAATCCGTCCTTGAGCTCAGTAGGCTCTCCATTCTAGTAGAATGTTTTGGAAGAGGGCTGGCATTCAGGGAGGACAAAGAATCGTGCAAAGTGGGGTATTTTTGCCCTCCAGTTTAGATTACTTTTTGCACCTCTGTTGGTACCCTGACCCATTTCAAGGAAGGTGCCTCTTCTGTGTGACACCTGGTGATACACACCAGTCTTTAGTGCTGCAGTGGGTAGTGGTTAAAACTGGTGCATGTGCATTGTAGGAACAGGCTCCAGACTGGGTAGGAAGCTCTGTGATGGTTTGATCGTTCTTGAAAAGTGTGTTGTTCTAGCAGAACGTCCAGCATCATCTTTTCAGTTTCTTGCCCCCCACCCTTACCCATAAGTTCCCAGGGTTGGTTGCAGCAATTTAAAAAAATACTCACAACAGCTTGAAACAAATGAGTAGGTCGTATCCCAACTAAGTTCTCATCAGCCACTGAAATTGATGGACATGGCTAACATAAGTAGGCCTAACTTGGTCATGTCCATCAGTTTCAGTGGCTCTGTTCTGAGGAGGACTTGGAGAAAACCCACAGTCCTGCCAGTAATGACAGGAAGGGAGACAAGACTTTAATATTTCAAGGATCCTGAACACAGAGCCCATGATGCGTCCCTCCAGCAGGATCCACGTTGCCCAAGACACCCAGCATCACAGGAGGAGGGTGACACCCCCCCCCCCCGTAACATGACCTCCAAGTGTAACAGTTTGCTTTCCCCATTGGGGTATAACTGAAAACACCACTCCCCTCCCTCCTCTCCCATTAAAGAACTGAGGCTGTGTCTTATCTGTTTACAGTATCTGGGGTTCTGTTTCCTGGACACACTGGGTGGGGGCAGAACATTGGGGAGGGGAGAGTTGCATGTATTTTCATAGAGTGCTGACCACGAGCAATAGTTGCTCTTTTTAGAAGGTGATCCTCCCTGCTTTGGACGCATGTTTAATATATTTCCCATGGTTTGTCTCCCCTAGAGAAAATTGTAGCCAATATAAACTGTTGAGAGAGAGATGGGGAGGCTCCAGAGCATGCACACGGAGTTGTGTGTGTGTGCATGTGTGAATGCACGCACACATAAGCACAGGCAAGGAGCTGGCTTCACTGCTTGCCTTTCGATTGCTAGATCCCTGTACTTGCTTAAAGGGCACTTTTAACCTGCTTCCTCCCAACTAGGGTTGCACGATGTTGGATTTTCAACATTGCGGTGTATTGCCAGCCAAATGTTTTGGTTTAGCGATAAACCGCAGTGTTGTAAAAAAAGCCGCATTGGCCCCAGGCAGCGAGGTGCCGGGTGAAACTGCCACAGCTCTCACTATGGGAGCTGAGGCGCTTTCACGTCAGCACCTTGCGGGCTGTGGCAAATACAGCTGGCCCCAGCCTGCTGCTCAGCTGGGGGCCCGAAAGTCTCCTGCCCCCAGCAGAGGCAGCCCTGAGTCCCCCGTGCGAAACCAGCAGGGGACTCATGGCTCCTTAACCAGGCTCAGCTGGGGGCAGGAGGCCACCTGCCCCCCACAGAGCCAGTCCCGGTGTCTCTTCCACTCGTGCTCGAGCCGCAAGGATCTTGGGGCTCCTTGGCCAGGCTGCCTCCACCTTTGCTGGCATGGGGGCAGGCGAGCTACCTTGCCCATTTGCCCCCCACTCCCCAAAGACAGACCAGGCAACAGTAGCCAAGCACACTGAGCCTGTCAGGCTCCGTGCATTTGACTGCCTTAGCCTTCACCTGTGTGGGTGTGCTGCCCGCTAGCAGCATCAAAGAGCCCCTACACCGCCTGGCTCCCTTCCACCCAGAGGGTGGGCTGTGTCTTTCTGGGAGGAAAGGCGCAGCACCCCCTCCCAGACGAAGGCAGCCAAGCAAGGCTGCAGCCCCAATCCCACTCCTACCCAAGTGCAAGCAGGAGCAGGGTTAGGGCTCTCTCAGCTGGGGGGGGGGGGCGCCTAACGGAACTCCCATCCCACCGCTGTCTCCATAAAACTACTTTGCTGCATGCTCCTCAGTCAAGCAGTTTAAAGAAGCGGAGGGAGGAAGAAGCTGTATCGGTAACTCGCTGATGCAGTTTATTTCTCCCTCTGCCGGGGCAGAGTGCGATGATGGTTTCACCAGTGGTATGTCCCCCCCGCCCAATACCAGTCCTGATCTATTGATATATCGCCCAATGCTACTCCCAGCACCAACACCTTCCATGCCCACCCCACCCCCCAAAAAAAAATATTGAGGAAGGGCTGTAGCTCTGTGGTGGAGCACCTGCTTTGAATCCTCAGTGTCCGCCCCCCCCCCCAGGATCTCGAGGGAAGAAAAACCCTCATATGAAACCCTGGCTAGCTGCTGCCAGTCCTGGACAGTGCTGAGCTAGAGAGACCAGTGTCCTGACTCAGGGCACAGCAGCTTCCTACGTCTTAAGGGGAAGGCTGTAGCTCGGTGGCAGAACATTTGCTTTGTGTTCAGAAGTTCCCAGGCTCGATCCCTCGCTGGCATCTCCAGGTAGGCAAGATCCCTGCCAAAAAGCCTGGAGATCTGCTGCCAGTCAGTGTAGACCACTGATCTTCAGCTGGTGGGTCAGGACCCACTCGCGGGTCACGGCCTGATCCAACATGAGCTCTATTACCATGCAAATGTATGGTAAAGGGTTTCAGAAATGGGTCCCCAAATGCATGTTTGGGTTAAAAGTGGGTCCTGGGATCTGGAAAGGTGGAAGATCCCTGGTGCAGACAATGCTGAGTCAGATGGACCAGTGGCCCGGCTCAGGATAGAGTAGCTGCTTTGCATGCAGAAGGATCCAGGTTCACTCCCCAGTGGCATCTCCAGCCAGGAAAGACCCCAGCCTAAAACCCTGGAGAGCCATTGGTGTAGACAACATGGAGCTTGCTGGTCTCATTGGTGCCCCCCCCAATTTTCTTTTCTTTTTTTTGCCTACTGAGGTGGGTGATTTGGAATTGTTTTTCCCCCTTGGGATGATAACAGTGGAGTTAAAGGAGACACTGGGAGGGGAGGGAGCGTGTGTGCATCCTCGCAGCCAAGGTCAGTAACAAAAGCCTCCCCACCCGCAGTACAGAATGTACTTGATCTCCATAAATGTATCAGGCTGCAGATGTACTTTTTGTGCAGGCAGACAGAACAAAGTGAATCTTGCATTTAAAAATAGATGGAGAGAATCTGCCCCTGCTTTCTGGGTTAAGGCAAGGCGTTATTACAAGGGAGCTTTCTCAGGAAGAAAGCTCTCTCTGTGTTTCAGGGAAACTCAGTGATAAAGCTGGTTTCAAAAGAAATAGTAGAATCATAGAGTTGTAGAGTTGGAAGGGACTCTGGGGGCCCGCTAGTCCAACCCCCTGCAATGCAGGAATCTCAGCTAGATCATACATGACAGATCCAAGGGCATGCGGGGATAGCTTAGTATACAAAAAGGCAGGCCTTGTGCCTTGCTCAGTGTTTTGCAAGCTGCATTTGCCCCTCTATGCTGGAAGGGGAATAGCCATAGCTTAGCGGTAGAGCAACTGCTGTTCGTATGAAAAGTCCCAGGTTCAATCCCCCACTTCTCCAGGTAAGGCTGGGAAAGGCTCCCTATCTGAAACCCTGGAGAACTGCTGCCAATCAGTGTAGGTAGTACTGCGCTGGTTGGACTACTAAGCTGGTTGAACAGTGTCTTCTGTTCCTATGTCTGAAAGCAGGGATAGCCCATGTGGTGCCTTTCACATGTTGCTGGATTACAACTCGTATCACCTCTGATCATTTTCCATGCTAGCTGGGATGATGGGAGTTGGGAGTCCAGCAAACATCTGGAGGGCACCATGTTGGCTATCCCTGTCTTAATGGAGGGCCCAGAGCCCCTAGAGTACATGCTTTGCAAGCAGAAGTTTCCAGGTTCAGTCCCCAGCATCATCATGATGTAGGAACATAGGAAGCTGCCTTATACCAAGTCAGGCCCTGTATCTAGCTCTGTATTGTCTGCTCCAACCAGCAGCCCTGGTTCTCCATGGTTTTCCCTACTTGGACATGCCAAGGGTTGAATTTGGAACCTTCTGCATGCAGGGCATATGCTCTGTCACTGAGTGCTCTGGTGCTTCCCCAATCAAATAAGCAGATTATGAGGATCTCCAGAAACGGCTGAGAAAAACTCCCTGCCTGAAGCCCCGGAGAGCCACTGCCAGTCAGTATAGACAGTACTGAATTTAATGGGCTGACTCTGTATAAGACACTCTTGCATTTCCTGAGTTGTGCTTGTGCTAATTGCACCAAGCATCTCCATGCTGTTGTTGAGACGGAGGGTGATTGTGTTCAGAACAGAGCCAGAGTCCTTCCCGAGACAGGTTCATCAACCACCACCTTCCAGTGACCTACATGTTCAGTCCAGATTTTGGGGTGTTTTGTAGTGCTCATTGGAGGTTGTTTTAACCAAACACCTCCAGGAGTCTTGAGCAAGGAAGTCAAGGAGGCGCAGACCTCACACTCTTCTGTGTGCAAAGTTTTTCCATACAGTTGAAGAGCTGCTGCAAGTCAGTGCAGACCCAATGAGTCTGACTCAATATGACACTTTTCTCCTATCTTTCTCTCCCCCGATCTCAAATTCTGCAGGGATTAAAATGTTCGTTCTTTAGATATAGGTTCAGATTGTGTCCCTGAAGCTGTCTTTGCTGACAGCCCCTCCCTGAGGGATCCCACTAGCTCTGTGGACTCTCTGCTAACTCACAGGCCAAGGTGTGATACAAACCCCAGGCTGTAATTCAGGATCCGAGTGTTCCTGCGTTTCTCTTGCCTGGTGGGTTAGTATTGTAAGCCTTGCGTGTAGCACATCACACATGCCATTTGCAGCGGATCTTCTGAGTGTCGTTAATTGGATTGATTCATGCTGGGTTGGAACATGACCTCTCTCGACATATGATAGAGAAGCCCTGGAGGCAGTGACCTAGGACAGGAATCCCTTAGAATTAGGTGACTGGGATCAGGAATCTTAACAAAACCCAAGGCTCACCAGGAAGGTCTTGTATGAGAATATGTATATATGCAACTGCAGGACGAGAGGAAATCTGCTGAGACAGGCTGCTCTGACATGCAGCGACTCAGGTTGCAGACGCCCTAATTAAAGCAGCCAGGGGCTCATATGCTCCCTTGGATGAGAATCAGGGTCAAAATGACCTGACCAGATTCTCTTCTCCGTTTTCTGGGAACCTTAATGAAGCACCTGTCCAATTAGCCCCCTTCTCTCTCCCCTCCCCCACATGAAGCTCTTCCATCTTGCAAGCAGGGCAGAAGATTTGCTGTTGTCCACGGTTTTATTTTAAGGTTTCTCCTTCTTATAAGTAAAGTTCTGAAGGGGCTTCAGATATTTCACGGGAGCTGAGTTCGATTTCCGCCTTGCCCGGGGCCTAGCCCCAGAACCTGTTTTCAGGTGTTCTGCCCAGCCTCTGAGCATGTGAAGTAGTAATGACTAGGAAGATAATTTCCCCGAGTTAGCAAATACGGCCTTTTTCTCACCATTGATCAATCATTAGACAAACAACATCTCACTCCCCACCATGATTCTGTCTGTCTGTCTTTGTCTCTGTCTGAGACAGAAAGCAGGCTTGGGACTTAGCAACTCTGAAATCATGCATCAGATTTCACCCGGCTCTGCCCTTGCACTTTCAAGCTTTTCCCAGCAGCCGCAAGAGCTAGGAGCTGGTTGTTTAAAAATAGAGGATTCTCCAGATGTGAAGCTCTGTGCTAGGTAGTACATGAACAGCTTGTGCTGCATCTGTCAGCAAATGTGCACATAGCCCCCTGTGGTTGTTTGTTTTCTCCTTCCTCAAATAGCAACCCTATGATGGTGTCCCTTTCTGTTCTGGGACCTTGAACTTGGTTTTTCCTGGGGTGAGATGAAACTCCTAGGGGGAGGGGGGAGGTTAGCAGACAGATGTGCAGATCAACCACCCTCAGCAGGAAAGGCAACACGTCTAAGAGGCTTATATTGCACGTGTTTCCCTTACATTGTTGACAGTGTCATTATTATCTGAATGTCTTCTGGCGGCAATGAGGTCTAGAGCCTTCTCAGCAGAGGCATCTACCTTGAGGAGCCCATCCGGCTGCTTCACTGCCCTCTTTTTAGGAAAAAAAAAACCCCTTCTTAGGAGAGCTTTGTCTCTCATAGCAGGAAAAAGGATCTCTGCCATTCTGTGGCATTATTGGGGCTTATTTTTAAAATGTTTTGATGATTAATTTTATGATACGCTTTGTGTCTTGTGTGCGGTGCCTCAGATGCCACCTCCAGGGCATTTATGGGACGTGTCTAAAAAAGGAATAGTAAATGAATGGTGAATTGATTTTCTGTTGTTCTTGTGCGCAGTTCCCTTTTTCCTTCTTAATAAGAAAGCTCATTCCTGTTCCCCCCCTCCCCTTTTCTCCCCTTTTGTTTTAACTCTCAAAGACTGTTTGGCCACCCGATGTCACTGCGAACACTCCAGACAGAGAAGTAGGCTCCACAGTTGGAGGGGGGACTAGGCTTCTGATAATTACCGGTTATGCTCAGCTATTTGCGCAAGTATTAATGTTGCTTTTGACCCCTGAACAAAATGAGGGTTTCTGAGCCTGGTGGTAAGTTGTCGTTGCTTTTCCCCCCCTCTTTCCTACCGCCCCCAACCTTTCCCTTTTGCAGGCTCGGCAGGACCTGTCCATCCCCTCGTGGACCCCTTGGCAGCCGGGCCTCATTTGGCGCGCTTCCCTTATCCTCCCGGCACTATCCCAAACCCGTTGCTAGGGCAACCGCCCCACGAACACGAAATGCTCCGGCACCCGGTCTTTGGTAAGTGTGCAATAGCAGCCCTTGGGGAGCCAGTGTTGCCCAACCTATGCCCTCCAGAGGTTGTTGGACTACGACCCCCATCATCCCTAGCCATTGGCCATGCCACTTGGGGCCGGTGGGGCTTGGAGTCTGACAGCAAGATCTGGAGGGCGGCAAGTTGGGGGAAATTGATGCAGATGAAAAATACAAGACCTAAGGGCTATCTGGTTTTGAACAGCAGCCAATCAGATTCCTCCAACCAGAGCATTTGCCCCCCCCCCCCTTTGCAGGGATGCTGTTCAGCACCTGGTGTCCAGAGGTATCCTGCTTCTGTACACCGTGTGGATATTATTGCCAATTGTCTTTAATAGACAAATGCACCTAGTTTAGGTTTTTATTGGGTACCAGTGATTTAATGCATTTATCCTGGTATCCCAGCTGTCTCTGGACTGACTTACTTATGAAATTAAGGCTGTGAACTGGGGGAGTCTCATTCAAAGACTCTTTGTACCAGGGATCAGGCCCTTTCCTATGTGGACGGCATTCCACAGGTGAGTCGCATCCAAGTAAATCCTACTCAGGGTGGACCCACACAAGTCATCTCCAGTGATTTCAGCATAGAGTAGGACTAGCATTGGGTGCAACCCATCTGCTCAGTCACTGTTATCCCAGCTTGCAGTTACCAGGCATGCCTTGGCTAGTCCAAACTTGTGTGCAACAACCTTTTCTCTCTCCCCAGGTACCCCCTACCCACGTGACCTCCCTGGCGGCATCCCTCCTCCCATGTCAGCAGCCCACCAGTTACAGGCCATGCATGCTCAGTCAGCAGAGCTTCAGAGACTAGCCATGGAGCAGCAGTGGCTGCATGGGCACCCCCACATGCACGGGGGCCACCTCCCCAGCCAAGAAGACTATTACAGGTAAGGCTGGGCCCATGCTGTCAGCGGAGGAAGAAGCTCTCTGGGGCAAGCTCCCCTTAGCGTGCATGCTGCCCCTTGGCCAATTCCTCCTCTATTTATTTGTTATTAATATTATTTATTGAATTTGTATACCGCCCAAGTGGGCAACCACCTTGTCCTGAGGGAGAAGGGGAGGAGAAAGGAGTGGTCTGGCAAGCTGCCACCACCCACCTCGCAGTGGTAGTCCCCTTATATCACATTTCCTTCTTAATTGATGCTTAATTGTGCAACTGTCTTTGGTAAACCGCTTTGCGAGGTACACCTGAAAAGCAGCATACTATAAAATAGGCACAGGGAACGTGTAGCCCTCCTAGACGTTGCTGGACTACAACTCCCATCATCCCTGACTAATGGTGATGCTGGCTGGGGCTGAAGGGAGCTGGAGTCGAGCAACATCTAGAGGGCTGCCTGTCATCAGTGAGTGAGTGAGTGAGTGAGTGAGTGAGTGAGTGAACGAACCAACCAACCAACCAACCAACCAACTAGGAGAGGCATGTTCTGAATGAATGAATGAATGAATGAATGAATGAATGAATGAATGAATGAACCAGGAGAGGCATGTTCTGGCAGCAGCATAAAGTGGAGACCCAAACTGGCCACATTTGCACAACTGCTTTCTTGCTTTAGGCTCCTATCACTTTACAGGTTAGTTACACCAGAGGTGTCAAACTTGAAGTGTGTCACGTGCCCTCAGAGTTGGATTTGTTTTTCTGAGGGAGGAGAGGGTCTTCCTGCTCTTATACCTGCTATTGTTATAAAAAACCATGACCAACTGCAGGTTTTGGAGGGTCCTCAGGCAAGATGCCCATTGGAGGATGCCCTCCCTGGGTGGTCCCATCTCCTCCTCTCCCTGCTGCGCTGTACTCTGTTTGTACAGCTGCCTAGAACGTACATGGCAAGCAGAGGGAGGTGCTTCATCTCCTCCCTCTGGTCACTGCTTGGATGCTCACAGAAGGCATTTGAACAGACAGCAGCCACAGCACCAGGAGGCTCCAAGGGTTGCCTGGGTGGGGGCTCTATTAAGGGTGGGGGCCTCAATAGGTGCTCAGTGGTGTCAGCTCCAGGATGAGAAACCACAGAAAGAGGTTGTCAGGGCCATTACTGGTCAGATTTGGAAGGTCAACGCAGCAACCTTCTTCATGAGGTTGGTTTCTTCAGCGTTTTGAAGGCTTGGGTCCTTGAAGTGGAGCATGAAGGTATTGCTTGGGGAACTGGCCATTGCAGAAGGCCAGGCTCCTGGGTTGTTTTTTATTCCAGGCCCAGCCAGTCCAGAGGCTCCCTGCCTGCCTGCTGGCCACAGAGCCTCATGTCACATGCCGCTATTTTCGAGCGCATGAATGCAAGAACACATCCCTGAGTCCCTGGGAGAACATGTGGATGGATGCATAACTCCTCCCTGCTCAGTCTTTGGTAGGAAGAGGGATTTCCCCAAGGCTTGTCACACACCCTTTTCTTCTTATGGGGCAGGGTGTGTGTGTGTGTGTGTGTGTGAGAGAGAGAGAGAGAGAGAGAGAGTGAGTGAGACAGAGAGAGAGAGAGAGAGAGAGAGAGAGAGAGAGAGAGAGAGAGAGAGATCTGTGGTACACAGAGGTCTACTTCACTACCACATTTGTCTGTTCTTGGCAGAGAGCTCGTCTGCATTGTGTGAGAGGGGAGAGACTGCAGAGGCTGGAGGGAAAAGTTCCCAACCCAAAAAAGCAACTGAATTCTTTTTCTTTTTCTTCTTCTCTTCTAGCCGACTGAAGAAAGAAAGTGACAAGCAGTTGTAATAAATTATTTATTTGTAATTCTGGCTGCAGAAGATCCCAGTCCTTGGGAAGAAATGGAATGTGTTTATCCACACACACACACACACACACACACTGCGAAAAACAAGAGAATTTTATCTTTTCAAGATACCTTTCTCTATTTAAAATGAAAAAAGGAGAAAAAACAAATAAGGAAGCCCAACCTATAGAGACTTTTAAAATCAGCACATATATTATAGAATTCATTTGTAGAGAAGATTTTTCCAAGACCAGTTTCAGGAGTCTCCTTGCATGATAAAACCTGTTAAGAAGCCTATTGAGAGAGAAACAACCCCCTCAGAACTGGATGGAAGTATTCAGAGGAAATTCCTTGGGCATTCTTGGGGTTGTTTGAGGGGGTGGGTTGGGTTCGTTTTTTCATTTTTTTCATTTTGAGTAGGTGCTAGAATCAGGTTCACAACTTAATGCAAGCCACTGTGCATACAAAGAAATACACTCAATTTATATATAAATATATAAATATATATATACACTTTAAAAACAAAAACAAAAAAAAACAAGAATGGCAAGTAGGTGGCATAACACCCTCTGAAAATCCAAGTGCTATAACAAGAATTTTAAAAGAAAAAAAATCTACTTTTATTTTAATACATTGTAGGAAAACTTCATAATTTTAAAGAGAGCTTTGCAGCATGGCTTTTTAAGTCTGTAAATAATTTTTTTGGGTTAGGGTTTAAAAAAAATTATAATAATCTCCACAAACTCCTGGTATCTTTCTTTCTTTCTTTCTTTCTTTCTTTCTTTCTTTCTTTCTTTCTTTCTTTCTCTCCTTCCATCTCCTCCTCTCTCTTCCTCTTGTTCTCTCTCTTCAGTAACATCACAAAACCGTTACTTCTTACCTGATGTTGACAAGAATACAGAGTTGATTTTTTAATATAAGAGGAATATATATAATTATCCCTTTAATTAAAGGGAAGATGACATGGGGGGAGGGGTCAGTAATTTCAAAATGGTCGAGAGCTTGACTTGACGGTTTGGTAGCAACATGAGCATTAAAGAGAGTTGCAGGGATAATGTGTTTTTTTCTAAAAACAACAACCAAGAACACACAACTCTTTTTCTTTTTGTGTGTGTGCGTGTGCGCTGTTCATTTTAATTTAATTCATTCGTTCCATGAACATTCTAAATCGCTTTTCATTCTCATAGGTTTATTTTTGACATAACTCAGTTCCTCAGCCGGTGAACAAGACCGCATATTCCTGCACTGGTTCTGTCGAAAAGCCGTCACGTTTTCCACCAGCGCAAGAGTTTTTTTGAAGCAGAAGTTGGAAAGGTAGCATTTTTCAAGAAATGGGCTCTTGAATTGTCAGGCTACCCCCGGGTCTCTCCTTTCCTCCACAAACATAGCATTAAACTGAAACTGTTTCCTAAAAATGCAGGCACACACACACACAGAGAGTCTACCAATTAAGACAACAATAATGCGGTGACGTTTCTTTGGCCACAAGCCCCACAAGGCGTTCAATTCAAGAGGAAATTCTCCTTCTCCATCTCAGGATGTGCACCATGCATACCCACTGTGTGCCTGGGAACCCTTCCAGCATCGAAGCCCCACACCAGTCATGAGAGCTGCTGATATGGGGCAGACTGTCCTTTAGATAGCATGAAGTTTACATGCAAACCATTTCCCTTCAAGTAATATCTATAGATATGTTTTAAAACTTATTTGAATAGTGCCGAATCGAAACTTCCCATCCCTGACAAGTTACACACTTTGAAAGAAAAGGGACAGCCAGAGGGGCTGCTTCAGAGCTGTGCGTTTTCGAAATTGCCCCCACGAACGCAAAGCTTAAATTTCACTCTTAAAAGCTCGGTCCAATATTAGCAGGTTTGTGTTGTTTTTGTGTGTGTGCTTTGCTGGGCACAGAAGGGGATTTGCACCTGGTCTTACCTCAAGGGCACAATTGACCAGGGCGGTCTCACTCTTCCCCCCCTCACCCCCAGTCCATGGCAGCAGAGTAAATTTCTTCCCCCCAAAAATCCCCATCTTGAATGCTCTTTTGGGAAACAGTGGAGTGAGAATAAGACTCAATAAATGTGCCTCGGGCAGCCTTTTTCCTGCCTGCTGTTAAAACGAGTTATCCTTGTTTTGTAAAAAAATGTTCACATCCTCCAATGCACGAGGCAGGGAAACTCTGAAGGCTTACAGTGGGGTTGACCATCTTCTGTCAGAAGCTGTCAATGTCTCAAGGACATGACAACTGCATGAATCCTATTTTTTAATTCCCTTCCAATTGCTAGTTTAATTACACTTTTTTTAAAAAAAATAATTAGTTGGATTAGTGCAGGAATCTGCAGGGCTGTGTGATAACACATTTTCCTGTTAGTTGCATTCATAATAACATTTCCTGGTTCTTGTTCCTTTTGGAAGGCTGCTTCATTTGCTGTGAAGACTGTTATTTGTGGTGGTAGGAGTCCATTGGGCCTGATCAGATAACCCCGTAGCTAATTGTTCAGCGGTCTCTTAAACAATGCATACAGCAGGTGGAATTTTAATCCAGCCTAACAGAAATTTGGGTTCCTCCTACCTTGGTCCAGAGAGCGGAGCTTTCCCAATGCTCCCTGACTCCTACTCCTTCTTCCCAAACCATCCTTCTTTACCATTCGTTTCCTTACTGACAGCCCACGCCTCTTGTCTCTGTGCAGTGGCAAATAGCTGGTGGTTATTAAGCCATCCACCTGCCTTACAGCCCCTCCAGGTGGTTCTGAAGTTAGCCTAACTGCGGACCATATTTTGGTCACACAAGCCACATGGGGTGTCCTCAGAATTGTCACGGTCACCTCTTCTCAGGTCAGTTTCTGAACCGCCTAGAGCTGAAGCCCTGAACTGAGCATCAGGAAACTCTAAATTCATGGTGCTAAATGTCCAGCAAGATGCAACCTAACAAGACAGAGTCATTGCTTGAAAGCCTAGCTGGCATCTCATGTTTTAACACTGTCATCTGGAATGGAATAAACTTCTCATAATGATCTGTCTTAACAGGCAGGACATCCCCAGCTGCTTATTATCAGTCCTCCTCTGTCTTGCCTTGTCTTTTTGAAGACAGTTTTTAACTGTCCTCGACTCTCACTGAAAACAGAACCAGCCGTATTGGTGAGGGTGGCGATAATCCCCTCTCCCTGGTCCCCTGGCAGAACTGAAATTTCAGTACCTTCAGGAGACACTTAGCATGGATGTTGCAGACCATCCTCCTCTGACTTGGTGCTCTCCTGGTGTTTTGGACTACAACTCCCATCAGCCACACCCAGTGGGCTGATGGGAGTTGTAGTCCGAAACATCTGCAACTCGCCAGTCTAGGAAAGACAGACATGTACCAGTTTATTACGCCTTTCCCTCTGCAGTTTACATGCAATTCATTGTGCTTCCTCATAAGCTCTTAACCTTTTGGGTTTCTTTTTTATGCTTACGTTAACAGTATGAATCATTCCACAATGGTGGGGGAGCCCAGAGGTTCTTTGTCCTCGGATCTAAATGATTAGCTACAGTGTTATTTGCCCTGACTCTCCCAAGACCACCATGCTCTGTTAGAATCTCCCAACTTTTTACAGTTACCTTTTCAGAAAAAAAAAACTTTTTTAAAGCAAGATTTTATTTTTTGCTTTGAACTTCAAAAATTCATTTTATTTTATTTTGCTTTTTGTGTGTGCGTGCGTGTGTGATTTTACTTTATTTTTTTCAAAATCAAACCGTCTCTTGTTCTGTGTCGTCCTGGTTTGAGCTAGTTTCACTGCACCGTTTAAAAGCAGAATATACATTCTGACAGCTACATTTATATATATATATATATCTTGAGGCTTAGTGTATATATGAGTAGATTTACCATGGGATAACACAGTGTAAAACAGAGTAGAAAACCCAGAAATCGTGACTTCTGTGTTCTCTCCATTTGAGTATTTTGTAATTTTTTTGAAATATTTGTGGACATAAATAAAAACCAAGCTACACTACGGCAGTTTTGATTTTGTTTGAAAAGTGTGGCATGCATGTTTTAATGGGGCATGAGGTTGGGGTGGGTTCACTAACCATGAACCTCATCGGAAGCAACAACCAGAGTGGCTTGGCTTCATCCTAAGCATCTTCTCATCTGTTTCTTCTTAACTGCACAAAGACCATCCTACAACAAGGTAACAAAACAAGGTGGGTCCTGTTTCAGACAGCACAGTCCCTTTGGACATTTGCCCATGTAAGGTGTACTATTGCCATATGCCATGGTTGGGACAGGCTTTTCAGTTACATATTTTCTTAAGTAACACATTTGCATCTTGTCCTGCCTTTAAGGTGTCAAGATGGTTGGGTGTGCATGGAGTTAATCCTGTGTTTTCCTTCACAGCCACCCTTCAAGGTAGGTTAGTCTGAGAGTTAATGGCTGTCCCAAGCTCTCTCTGGGTTTTGGATGATGCCTGTGCATCTTGTAGCAGGCGTCATGATAGATTAGGCATTCCCTCTGCTGTGCGTGTGATTGTGTGAGACAGAGAGGGAGAGAGAAAGGGGAAAACTTCGGTTTAGACCAGGGGTCAGCAACCTTTTTCAGCCATGGGCCGGTCCACCGTCCCTCAGACCATCTGGTGGGCCAGACTATTTTGGGGGGGGTGTGTGTGAACAAATTCCTAGGCCCCAAGAATAACCCAGAGATGCATTTTAAATAAAACACGCATTCTACTCATGTAAAAACACCAGGCAGGCCCCAGAAATAACCCAGAGATGCATTTTAAATAAAAGAACACATTCTACTCATGTAAAAACATGCTGATTCCCAGACCGTCTGCAGGCCGGATTGAGAAGGCGATAGGGCTGCATCCGGCCCACGGACCTTAGGTTGCCTACCCCTGGTTTTGACAGTGCTTGCAGTCTGCCATTTTATGCCATCTACTGTACTCAGTTTAGTCCACTTTTTAGTAAATTAAATATTTAACAATTGGTTAAGCTAGGCTTGCCTGCGTCAGGATTTGGGGGGAGGGGAGGTTTCCTCCCAAAAGCTCAACAATTTTGGTGGTTTCCTTGAAAAAGCTCATTGCGAGTGTCAGGAATTTTACTTTTTGAAATATGGCAGCCTTAGTTAAGCACCAGAGCCCTAAAACCCTTTATTCCATTGCTTTTGCTCTTCATTGGTTTCTTTTAAATTAGATTTTTGCTGCTGATCCAGGAAATGTAAACATTTATTTATTTATAATCCTGTTCTTTGGCAGAGAGAGAGAGAGATCTCAGAGGAGCTTACAAATCATTATGAAAAAGACACTCCCTGCACTCAGGTTTACAATCTAAAAAGACAAGACACAAAAGGAAAATGGATTGGGATTGAGGAAGAAACTAGCAAACCCCTACCAAAGCAGCTCTGACCTTGAGAATCCCATGAATGCCACTTCAGGATCCGTCATGGCAGGAGGGCAGGGTATATACTGTAGTGTTATAATAAAGAGATGGTGTTGCCACCTTAATTAACCTGGAGGTGATTCAGGTTTTCAGCCCGGTTTTCAGGACCCTGTGTGGAGTTGTGTCTGATCCTGTCTCCTGTTCTCTTCCCTCTTCTGGGTAATTTGCTCTGCCACACACACCCCAGTCCTTGTCCTCCCTTTGCTCTGCTGAACACGATGCCAAGTGACTAGAATTCATCCATTGCAGAAAACACCTTCATCTAAATGTAAATGCCATTTCCCTGCCTCGGGCTGCTGCTTCATTCTTTTCTCTCCACTTCGGGGAAACGGATACAAGATAATGCCACTGTCACCACCCCAATCAATTTTTGTCCATGTCAAGCAAAAGCTTTTGTCCTAATACGTCTTTGAAATGTATTGTTCTGGGATGACAGAAGATTCATTCATTGGGGGCTGAGAGAAGAAGGGCACACTCTGAGAAATAGTCTCATTCAAGGAGAAACCCCAAAGGATTGGCGCCGTGTGCATGAAGGAAGTGGCTTGGGGAAGGAGTAAAAAAACTCTTCAAACCCATCCAAATTTCCCTTTTCTCACTAAGATGCAGTAGCCGGTGCCCATTGGGACTGCTTGGTCAGAAACAGGGAGACCAGCAGAGTCAGTGGCAGCCAGAGCCACCCTCCATTGGTTGTAAGTAAGAAGGTGGGCAGGGGGTTGGTGTGGCTGTGCCCCATTTGCTCATAGCAAATGGTCTCTGCGCCTTAAATGTGATTTAAGCATCACTGTGTATTGGATTATCTAGCTAGCCGGACAGATGTTAGTCTGCAGCTCTGGTCAGGCCAGGCAGCATAGCCAGTGCTTAAAAGCGACCCAGCCATTTTGTGGAATAACAACCATATAATAGTACTCTAGAACTGGTTTTACTGTTAGTTTATTGAGTTGGCAATCCTTTGCATTTTGCATTTTACTTTATTGTTCCAGTAGCATTTTGTTACAAAGCTCTCAATAAACATCCAAATGACCAGTAAATATTGATGAGAGAGTTGTAGTCCAACCATATCTGGAGGGCCACAGGTTTTCTGTGTTTGTTTTAAATACAGCAAGGTGGCTATTGGAGTGTTTTTCAAATAGTTATGTCCTGGAGGCAGCAGACCTGGAGAAGAGGACCTGGTATCCTCAGTCTGCTGGTGAGATGCCATCGCCACAGCAGGACCATTTGTTGTGGAGTCTTCCTTGGATTACACCACTATGCGGCCATTTTAAATTCTCCACAGTGTCCTGGACGAATGCCTATGCCAAGATTGCGGGAAATTTTCTATGGTGGCTTGTGGTTGCCCACCATGACCAGGTTCAGGAGAGACAAAAGGAGAGATGTCTTCACATAGCACATAGCTAGGGAATCTATTGCCATGAGTAATATGACCAGTTAAAGGTAAAGGGACCCCTGACCATTAGGTCCAGTCTTGATCGACTCTGGGGTTGTGGCGCTCATCTCGCTTTATTGGCTGAGGGAGCCGGCGTACAGCTTCCGGGTCATGTGGCCAGCATGACTAAGCCGCTTCTGGCAAACCAGAGCAGCGCACGGAAACGCCGTTTACCTTCCCGCCGGAGCGGAACCTATTTATCTACTTGCACTTTGACGTGCTTTCGAACTGCTAGGTTGGCAGGAGCAGGAACCGAGCAACGGGAGCTCACCCCATCGCAAGGATTCAAACCGCCGACCTTCCGATCAGCAAGCTCTAGGCTCTGTGGTTTAACCCACAGCGCCACCCGCATCCCTTTAATATGACCAGTTAGGGTGGCTTTAAAAGAGGTTTAGACAAATTCATAGAGCCAGGATGGCTATGTTCTGCCTCCGCTGTCAGAGGAAGTGTGCCTCTGAATATTAGTTGCTGGGAATCACAAGTGAGGAGAGTAGCTGTTTTGTTTGGGTCATGCTTGTGGGTGTCCCACAGGCATCTGGTCGGCCACAGTGAGAACAGGATGCTGTACTAGATGGACCTTTGACTTGACCATGCTCTTATTATGTTCTTAAGCGACGGGTGCTTGAACGAATGGTCACGATTAGCATTTTTTGTTCCAAATAACAGTTGCATGTCCCTGCCCAGCCAGACGCCCGTAACGTTCTTGAATTTGGCCAGCAGGTGGCAGCATTCACTAAAGTAACTTCCTACTGAGATACATGTTATGCTGTACACAGACTGGTATCGTCAGAGGGATATTTATAAAGTTTTGCTTTAAACAAAGCTGTGTTTAAAAATGCACCCTAGAGGCTTTTACTACACATGGGCTACTGAGGCATTCCGCAGTGTTGGAGGATGTGCACGTAGCTTTAAGTTTAGAAGCAACTGTTATTCAGAATCACTGCTGCCTCCACGTGTGCCCCCCCCCAAATCAAGCTGTTCTGGAGCCATTTATTTTTGTAAATTGCTTTGAGGTGCTTTTGTAACATAAAGTGATTAATAAGTTTAAAAAATGAGAGTAGTCGTAATAGTAATTTGTATTTATTTATTTATTTATTCATTTATTTCCCACCCTTCTGACTGGGTTTCCTTAGCCACTCTGGGCAGCTTCCAACAAAATATTAAAGATACAATAAAAAAAATGCATGCCCATTCGAAGCAATCTTATACCACTTTAAACGATGGTGGCTTCTGCTAAATAGCCTTAGGAACTGTAGTTTGTTAAGGGTGCTGTGCGGTATTTGGAGATCCCTCACAGAGCTCCAGTTCCCAGCACTCTTAACAAACCAGTTTCCAGGATTATTTTTTGGGGAAGCCCTGTTTAAAGAGGTATAATGCTGCATTAAATTTATAGCGCAGGCGAGGCCTCCCGAGATTCCTCTTTATATCCATACTGCCTCTGTTGCACCCGCACAACTTGCAATAAAATCAGCTGGAATCTCGCATGCCCGCAGGCTTCCAGTCAACCACTGGAGGTTTGTTCACAAGCTATGCAAAAGCACGGGGGGCAAGCTGCCTCTAGCACAGGTGCAAAGTGTGCACGTGCAAAAGAGGGCACACACTTGTTGCACATGGACCATACCCTCCTTGAACAACACGTGAATAACTGCGCTGGTGTGCGGGTCAGTGGAATGTGATTCTCACGTGTTCTCTTGTCCCCATGTTTGAGCTGCCTCTGTTTGGGGACTTGTGAGGGAAGAGTCATATGGTTGTTAGGGAAGCTTTTAATGTTTAATAGGTTATTGTATATTAGTGTATTATTGGAAGCCGCCCAGAATGGCTGGGGAAACTCAGCCAGATGGGCGGGGTATAAATAAATTATTATCATCATCATCATCATCATCATCATCATCATGTAATTCGGCCTTCAGAAACAGTTTCTGGGCGGAAATTGCTGTAATGTCTGGGAACAACATTGGGCAAAACTAAGAAAAAACCTCGACAACTATGGCCAAAAGCTTGAATTTTTTTTCCCCTTCAACTTTTGCTTCCAGATTTTTACTTTTCGAAATATGGCAACCCTACCTCAGGACCGAGCCTGACATTTGGAGCAAACGTTCATTTTACCTCCCTCAGACGCTCATTTTAGACACATTTCCCCCCCCCCCTTAAGCA